CACACACGCATCCAGTTCACTCTCCTTGGCTGCCAGGTTATATTGATAAACTGTTCTCTTTATATTAACAATGGCTGGACTTTTTCCGGACAGTCCTCGTATCTTGAAGAAAACGGCATATAAATGGACCCACACCGTGCGAATCCATGTTAAGGGTCAGCTGTAATTTGCCTGGTGGCAGAGACCTGTTATTCCCTTGTGGGTTTAGGCAGATCTCTGGGACTGGGGCATGGGGATAGGGTTTTGTTTTTTGTTTTGTTTTTTGGTGGGGTAGGGGGAGGTTGTTTGTTTTGTTTTTGTTTTAAAGCTCCCATACTCGAACAGGTAGTCAGTGTTGATCATGTGATTTAAACTCTTGGTCCTTCATTCAGGTTGCATGGGTGATGATCTGGCTTTCTCTCTAAAGCCAACTACCTAGTCTTCAGTTCCCCAGCCCTTATAGCACATAGTGTCTGCCAGCAGACTTATAGCAGTGGTACCTGCTGCTGTTTTGTAATAGAGAGTAACAGAAGGGAGACCTCATTTCAATACTGATCCTTCTTGGAAACCTTTGACATTTCTCTCCTAGTACTCCTACTCTGGCTGATCTTTCTCAATCTCTTTTGGTGAATCCTCTTCCTTCATTACCCCTTAAATGTTGATGAGCTCAGGTCCCTTCTTTCACTGTGTCTTCTCGCCAAACGATATCTTACCCTTGCTTCTGGATTTCACTCCACTCACATCTGCGTCACTAGCCCAAAGTTCTCTGAGCTTCAGACCAGTTAAGGAGGTATCTAGCTCCTTGCTGTGCTCCATCTGAGCATTCTACACATGTTCTATAACCCCAATATGAGATAAGCCCCTCCCTTTGTTTTCCCTATTATATTAGGTGGTATGACTAGCTACCATGACTCTCAAGTCAGGAGATTGGGAGAATTATCCTAGTTTAACTCCCTCTCCCTCATTCCACCGTTAATCTGTCACCTTATTCTTCCTCCTCTGTGTATCTGGATTCCCTCCACTTTTCTCCATGCTCAGTCACTGCCCTTTTGCCCACCCCATTTCACTAGGCTGGAGTCCTCACTTTGGGACTCACTGTTCTGTATCCCATCACTATAAGAGTCTCTCACCTGCTTAAAATCTAAGTTGTCATAGGTGGCTCCTCACAACCTGCTCCCAAGCCTTACCGTCTAGCAGTGCTGAGACACTTTATTTAGGTTTACACCACTTTGTTAAGAGGTTCAAAAACCTTTTTAGAACATGAAGTATACAGATCCTTTCTCCCTGAAGTGTGAGTCTAAGGACCTGCTGACGTAAGGGTCTGCATCACCCAGGATATTATTAAAAACCCAGAATTTCAGGTCCCACCACAGACCTGTATCAGAATCCTCATTTTAACAAGCCCTCCAGGTTATTTATGTGCACATTGAAGTTTGAGAAGCACTGACTTATAAAAGTTACTATTATTATTATTATTATTATTATTAAAGAAATCAGAGCTAAGGGAAAATGTGATAAAGCCAGAGCTCAAGCAATATCGATACATGCATGAAGTCAGGTGGTCTCTACTTTATTTGGAGGGTGAGGGGGTGGAGGAATACTGATTTTGAGGAAGCCAGAAGACAACTAGATGACGTGATCTTCAGTGTATGTCTTCACTCTCCCACCACCTCTCCTGCCTCCTCTTATATCGCTGTGTGCATCAAAAAGTCTCCTAAGGCCAGGCTCTCTGACCTTCATTTCCAGAGGATGAAAGACCAAGCCCTCCTCACCAGCCTGCTGCTCTTCCATAGTGTCCTAAGGTTAGGTTAGCAGTGGCTGAGAGATTAAAGAGCCGACCTCTTCTATCCCTCAACCTTTATTCATCCCTCAATCAGTCCAGGTATCACTCCTTCCAGGAAACCCACCCTCCATCCCTGACCTTTCCCTGCTGTGCACCAGGCCTTCAAGGCACTTCCCACCCTGTAATTGGTTGCCAAGGGGCAGCACACAGTTGTGCGGAAAGGTACAGACTCAGGTACAGGCTCTGGAATCAGACACACGCGGGTCTGATTCCCAGCTTCCCAGAACTCCTAGAAAATATGTGACTTTGAACCAGTGACTTAACCTCCCTCGGTTTTAGTTTTCTTGGCAGCCAAATATACTGTTTCAATGGTTGAAAGGAATGGGTGAATTAATACGTGGCAGTAACATGTGCGGGACCCCACCTGTCCCCAGCACCCAGCCGCAAACAGTGCGTATAACTAGATGAATGCCTGCAGTATTCAGAGGCCGGCCGGCCAGCATTGGGCCAACAGGAACCCCAGGCCTGTGTGGCCCGGGCGGGACTCCTTGAAACTTTCGCCAAGCCCAGTCTTGCTCCCTGGGAAGGCGGGGCTGTTGGGTTGAGTGACGGGTCGGTGGCCCGCCCCGGGCATGACGTAGTCCCGGTGGTGTTGCTGCGCTCGCACGTGGTCGACAGAGTCCGCCTCAGACTCTGCTGGGCTCCGTGTCCTCGCCTTCCTGCTCGTCTCGCTCGCTATGTCCACATCCACGAGCTGCCCGATTCCCGAGGTCAGAGACCGGCTACCTGACTGCTACAGCACCACGCCGGGGGGCACGCTATACGCCACTACCCCGGGAGGTCAGCGGGCCAGGCTCGGGTTCGCAGGCAGTGGGCGGGACAGCGCGGCCAGGCTGGGGTCCACTGACAGCGGGCGGGCCAGCGCGTGTGGTCTGTCACAGGCAGAGGTGGGGAGGTGCGGCCCTTTAACTCGTCAGCAGGCCCCTCTGCTGGTTGTAGCTTGGGGGAGAGTGGGTGGAGCCCACACTTAGTTTCCGTGTGACCCTGGGCCAAATCCTCACTGGCCTGGGTTCTGGGCTCCTTGCTCACCCACTCCTCCATACTTTGCTGCCTGGGAGGCGAGACCCCCCTGAGTCTTGCGAAGTTGCTAGAGCGGGTTAGGCAGTTGGAGGCAAGGGCTTCGGGTATCTGGCTGGCTGGCTGGCTGGCTGGAGGCTGTGATTGGGCAAGCAGCCTGGGATCATAAGCTGCTGGGCTTCCTACCCAGGGGTTCCTGCCACATGAAGCCTGAGGGGGAGAGTTAAGAACACAAGCAGGGCTCTTTGAGGACAGAATCCTGTGCCAAGTTCCTTTAGGTTGGGCTGAGCCTGATAGAACTTGGGAGGAGTCAGAATAAGAACAGTATGTCCCTGTTTTCATAGGGAACACAGCTCCTCCCTGCAGGATATCAGAGCCCAGGTGGCTGCAGTGTTGAAGAGCCTTCACATCTGTTTGGTTTCCTGATCCAACTAAGGCTGGAGGTCTAGGTCCCACCTTGTGAACGAAAGCAGTGAAGTCACGGAGCCAGAGAAGGGCAGCCTGAAGTACCTGAGCTCCAAGTCTGGTGCTCCTCCTAGAGTCAAGCCCTGAACCAGTGGCTCCTGCTTGTTGCTTAGCAGCATCTTTATTAGGCCTAGAAGTGCTGTGAAGGCTAATCAGCTGAGATCCTGGCTGGGCTGCAGAGCAGTAGCCCTATAAAACAGGGAAATGTGACTTCTAGGTCCTTAAAAGGCCTTTCTGCTCCAGACAGCTCTGCACCCAAGCTCCTGCCTCTTACATAGCTCCTACCCCTTAACAGGCACCAGGATCATCTACGAACGAAAGTTCCTGCTGGAGTGCAAGAACTCACCCATTGCCCGGACACCCCCCTGCTGCCTTCCTCAGATTCCCGGGGTCACAACTCCAACAGCCCCACCCTCCAAGCTGGAGGAGCTGAAGGAGCAGAAGGAGACAGAGGAAGAGATACCCGGTAAGGAAAGCAGGACCTGACCTAAAAACTGAGAAATGCCTTTAGTCAAATGCACTGGTTAACTAGAGCAGGGTTCTGCACTGGCACGGAGCCTGCGGACCCTCAGCCCAGCAACCAGTCCTCCTGCCTTTTTTCTCTCCAGATGACGCACAGTTTGAAATGGACATCTAATCCAGTGCAGATGACCCGTGTGTGGAGTTAGAGGAATCCCTCATGCCGCTGCTGCCACCACTTCTTCCTGGGATATCCAAAGGCCAGCTGGCCTCATCTAATCCAGACGGGGGTGACTTGGTCCTGGGCCTTAGTTCTGAGGCAGCTAGACCAAGGATAGGAGCGGGCACCTTGCCAAGCCCTTAGCTCTACTTTCTTTCTGGTCTGTAGGCACTCCTCTCAACTCCAGCCCTCCTCACCCAGGGGCCGAGGCAGGGACTGGGGGATGGAGTATGTCACTGTCTGACTGCTTAGTAAACATTCAAAGAAATGCCTTGGCTCCAGTGTTCTCAATGCTGAGGGCCCCAGCAGACTTGGTAAGGATCAGAGGTCCCAGGTCCCTTCCCAGCTCAGATTGGGCCCACTCCCAGTAGCAATTAGAGCTTGTGGCAAGCTACAGAAGCTGCCAAACCGTAAACAGCACTAGCCTGACCCTGCCAAGGGTTGTTCCAGCCTTTCCAGGAAGCAGCCTTCCTGGACTCGGCCTCTCCAGTAACCCCTATCTATATACCAAAGCAGGAAAAAAGAGGCACTGCTCTAACCATTTAGCCCTCTCTCATCTCTGCCCATGCTTTTTCTGCCTCCCATCTGTGAGTACCAGTCCCCTTATTCTAACACTGAAAGCCTGTACTGGCCCTTCTCTCAGGCCCTTTGAACCTCACTCTGTTTGTCCTCAAAGGGTCAGAAGGAACCTTGGAGTCCAAATGTATTAGCTATGTTCTAATACCCGATTCTGAACTCCACAGCACTTGTATACCTCAACGGTGGTACAGTGCAAACAAGGCAGTCTCCATTTCTCGAGGGAAGATTCTCCCCATGCTATCTGAACCTCTGTTCTCATGCTGAAGTGAAAGCATACAAAGATAGGGTTACTCAGCCCAGCAAGGGGGGTGCATTTCGTTCTAACTTGGGGGAAAAATGGCAAGCAGTAATCTGGTCATTCCTAGTAAGGCCATTCATGATGAATGGAGGAAGAGGTTTGTAAGGCGCAGAGAGAGCAGGACAGTCAGACACCAGAAGCAACCAGTCTGGCATGGGAAGGGTTTATCTCCTACCCTGGGCCCACCATTGCGGTGTTTTTATTGAAATGCATATGTTAGGGTTCACAAGTAACCTCCCTGTGGCCCAGGCGGGACCTCTTCCCCCAGAGGTGTATCAGGCCAATGACCCCGGTGGGGCAGTCTCCCGAATGCTGAGAGGGAGCCAGGTTACAGAAGGCCTCCAGCACCAAGGCACGGGAGACGGTGTGTGGCGAGTCTGCGGCAGGATTACGGATCCTGTTGGACACCTGGTGTAGTCTGGTTCTCCTCAGCTGTGGCTATAGATTTCTCTTCATTAGCCTGCTCCTCTGAAGACAGACTCCTCTTTTCTGCAATTAATCTTTTAACTCCCACCATCCATTGACTGACTTCGGTCACATGGTCAACCATGAGTGAGCGGTGGATGTCATCTGCTTCATCCCACCTGTGGTTTGAAAGCTCTGAGGGGAGAGAAAGAGGGACTGAGCATGCAGTCTGGGGCAAAAGATGGTTCCCACCTCTCCTCTCCCACCACCTACTCCAGCTTAGCCAACTACAGCAGGATGAGAGACAGGCTATACCAAAGGACCCACCCATACCCTGCACCAGCAGAGCCATCCTCTTCTTTACAGGTGTTGACAGCTTCCCACCAACCCACTGTTCCTGCAGCAGAGCCAGGCGTCGGCTGATGTCATCACATACCTGCTTCTGAGAGACAGAAACCCCCTCCAAGTCAGTGCTGCCAGCCCAACAGGGGCAGGGGAAACCTAGCACCACACAGGAAACACCTGCTTTCTCTGGCCCAGGGACCTAACACTTAACCTTAGCATTCTGGTTCTCTGCCCAAAGGTTAGAGGCCCTACTGAGAATCTGATGAAACTTACGCATCTCCTTCTAAGAAAAATGCCATGTAAGGCTAGAATTTTAAAATTTTCTGTTTCTCGGGCCCTCAGAAGCTCATAAAGCTACTTAACAAATAGAAAAACTATGGACGAAAGAGATGAAAATTGTTATGTTACTTTAACACTCCTCAGATCCCTTGCCTCCAGGGAACTTAAACACTACAGGGAGAAAAAGAGGGTTTCACCCTGGCTGGTGTGGCTCAGTGGATTGCACGCCAGCCTGCAAACCAAAAGGTCACCGGTTCAATTCCCAGGCAGGGTATATGCCTGGGTTACAGGCCAGGTTCCCACTTGTAGGCCTGCAAGAGACAACTATGTATCTCTTGCACGTCGAGCTTTCTCTCCCTTTTTCTCTCTTCCCCTCTCTCAAAATAAATAAATAAACCTTTAAAAAAAAATAGAAGAAAAATAGGGTTTCCTTCCCTCCCGGAGTACAAAATCAGCAGGGTCTGCTCTGAATGGCCTAGAGGTTCTAGAGGTATGAAAATCAGGCTGTTTGCCACTAACAGGATTTGAATTCAACTCGTTCCTACAAGCCTCTTCTGCTGACTGGTCTTCAGAAGTCCTTTGAACCCTCCTAAAACCATATGTTCATAGGGAGGGAAGTCCTTAGCAGATTCCACAAGGGTCCATAACTCAGAAAAGACTTAAGAGTCACTGCCCTTAGGATCAGAGGGTCTACCCTTAGGAGCCATCCCTGTATCTGGCTGTCAACAGGAACCCTCCCCGCCCCTCTGGTGTGCCAGGGCTTACCTTTGTGTGGCCATGGCAATCATCCAATGCCTGTTCCAAAGGTCTCAGCACATCTTCCAGCAGAGTCTCACACTCAACGACTGGGAAATCTGTGGGCTCCACAGTGGAGGCAGGACAACCCCCCATAGCTGGAGGCCTGGAAGCCTTACTTGAAGGAGGGGGAAGCCCCATTGGGGGGGTCCCAGGAAGAGTCTCTGAAGGGGGAACTGAAAAGGTAAAGCAGGATCAAACAGGCAGACACAGGTCCAGCTGCTGAAATAGGTAAGGAGCTCAACTCTAACTTCATCCCTTCTAAGGAGGGCTACTCTCTAGGACAACATTCATTCAAAAACGTGTATTTGTGAGGTCCTTACTATGTGCCAGAAAATGTGCAAAGCATCAGAGACAGAGTTGATAGATAAGGTTTCTGATCTCAGAGCTTAAATTCTGGAGGAAGGGGGGAAGAAAACCACCAAATTATGTTGCATGCTACAAAGAAATAAAATGGGTTAAGTGATAAAGAGGAAATGAGAGACCTACCTAGAAGGCCATCTAATTTTATCTCAGCCCAACCACTATGTGACATTTGGCAAGTTAATTTTAACCAGAGCTTGGGCTCCTCTTCTGTAAAATGGGCATACTACTGTAATAGCATTTATTTTACAGAGTTGCAGTGATGAATAAGAATATAGGTACAGCCTTGACAAGTGTGGCTCTCAGTTGGACATCATCCTGCAAAACGAAGGGTCGCCAGTTTGATTTCTGTCAGGGCACATGCGTGGGTGGTGGGTTTGGTCCCTGGTCGGGGTGCATACCAGAGGCAACCAATTGATATTTCTCTCTCACACTGAGGTTTCTCTCCCTCTCTTTCCCCTCCTCCCCTCTCTCTAAAAATAAAATCTTTAAAAAATATATATATAGGCACAGCTGCTAGATTAGCATGTAGCAAAAAGTGCTCACAAAGCTAAGAGCTGAGAGATGAGATAGATGTGGCCAAGAAAAGCTGAAGGAAACAAGCACTAGGTAGAGGTAAGGGCAGCACCCAGGAGGCCGGAAAAGTCAAGACATTAATTCCGTGTGCTCTGAAACATCAGTGAGACTAGGTCGAGAATGGAAGCAGGGACACCAGCTGGGAGATTAATGGAGCAGTAGTCCTGGAAAGAAAAGATGTTGGTATGGACTTGAGTGAAAGACTAGAGATGAGGGAAAATGGAGTGGTCAGATGTATTTAGGAGGGAATAGCCACAGGACTCGGTGGACTGGAGGTGAGGGAGAGGAGTCAAGGACGACTCTTGGTTTCTGACTTTAGTAATGTGACGGTGGGACCACTACAGAAACAGAGAAGACTGGAAAAGAAAACAATCAAGAATTTACTCTTAGGCATCAACATCCACATGGATTAATTCATTCATCTAATAACGTTGGCCTCTCAGTTTCTGGACCTCCTCACCTCCAGTGATCTTTTTTTCCACCCTGCCTCGGCCTCTCATTCCCACTGCCACAGGCTCAGCAACACTGAACCATCTCCAAAATCTGACCACCTCTCCCACCCTTCCAGCTCAGCTCCACAGATTTAACCACGCATTAGAATCACTCCCTTATTAACACCCTTCACCTCACTTATCCCCTCCCACTGCCCCACTTTTCTGGTTAATCTAACTTGCCTGCACTTGCTGGGAGGAAAAATAAAACTGTGCTGAGGAATTACACTTAAAATCCATGGCTACAAGTTTTAAAAGGTATCCAACGCTGCTTGGAAGTCCTACACGTTGCCTCGTTTTCCCAATCTTTGGCATAACTGTTTTCACATCTCTACCTCCCTCCCTCCCTCCCTCCTTCACCTCTCCCTGCGGTTCTCTCTACTTCTGGCACTGCCTCATACTTCACTGAGAACATAGAAGTCATTAAACAGCAACTCTCATAATTCTCACCACCAGTTCTAAGGACCCACCCACACCGGTGGCCACTTTCCTCCTCCTCCGGGAGATGAAAGGTCTCTGCGCATATCAGAGGCCACCTCTCCAGCTGAACTCTGCACCCAGCCGCTCTTGCCTTCCCTAGCCTCCCCTCCTGAAGCTATCCCCTTTCTCCAGCACTATCAGTTCTCCCACTTTATTGAACCATCCTATCTGCACAAAAACACACTGCGGCGTATACTGCTGGAAAAATAAAAACCCTACTCCCTTACCTCACCTTCCATCTTCACATACCCCAGCCCCTTTCTCATCTCTGCTTTACAGTAGAATTTCTTGAATGAGTGGCCTTTAGTTACCTCTCTCCGTCTCACCTCGTTCCCTTCTCAGCCCATTCCTGAGGGTTTCTGTTCTCATGACTCCACAGAGTGCTCCCGGGGTCATCAGTGATCTCCACGTATGTCAAAATTAGCGGTCCCTTTTCTCTTATTTGACCTCTCAGCATTCATCACAGTTGAGTCAAGACTTTAGTCTGAGTAAAGTTTACTTCTCTTCTTATTTCTTCAGCTATTTCTCAGCCTCCTTTGCTAATTCCTTCTTTATTCAACCTTGAAATGCTACAGAGTCTTGGGCTCTGTCTTGGAACCTCCTTAGGACTTTATCCACACGCCCGCGCCTCCTTAGTCAAGCCCATGACATCAAATACCATCCATATAATGATAATTCGTTTCTGTAATTCTGGCCTACACCTCCCCCCAATACAGCAGACCAAACCATGGCCAAGACAGAAAGTTTGCTTTCTCCATCCCCCCAAAACCACTATTCTCCAGTCTTCTGATCAGTGAAACCACCAGCCAGTTCCATGAGCAGAAATTCACATTACCTTTTCTTTTTCTAACCCACTCGTTCCTGCTGCCTTCCTCCGTAACACGTCCCACCCACCTCTAACCGATTCCTACCACCTCTGCAACTCCCACCCTTATCCAAATCATCATTCCGTCTTGCTTTTGTTAACCTAACAGCCCCCTAGCTTCCCACTTCTCTCTAACCTTCCACACAGCAGATACAGTGCACTTTTTAAAAATGTAAATCAGTGTTTCTCAGTCTCAGATTTTGCCCCTGCGGCAAATGTCTGAAGACGCCTTTAGCTGTCCCAACTAGATGAGTGGTGTCACCTAATGGATAGAGGCCAGAAATGCTGCAAATATCCCAGTGTACAGGACAGTCCCACCCCACAAAGAATTATCTGGCCCAAAATGTCAGTAGTGCCAAGGTTAAGAAATCCTAGCTTGTATCATTTCTCGGCAGCGTTATAGTACGGAGAATAGAAGGGCACTAAAAGAGCTAAATCTGAGCCTTTTTCAGGCCCACAGCCTCACCTCTTGGCATGGGAACTGTTCTCTACTTTAAACATTTCAGTGCTTCGAACTTCACATAGATTAAAACACAAACTCCCTATCCTGGCTGATCAAACCAACTATGCTCTCGCCCCCGACTACTATTTATCTCTATCCTTGGCCCACTGTGCTCTAGCCACTAGGTATTCCTTCAGTCTCTGAATTTGTCAGACTTGTTCTTCAGGCCTTGGCACTGGCTGCTTCCAATGCCTGGAGTGCTCTGGCACCTGACCTTTGCATAGATGGCTTTTAATTATTCACCTTTCAGCTTAAATGTCAGCCCCTCAGACACCTTAGTTACCTGGTTACTCTTACATTACTGTTTTATTTCTTTGCAGATCCCTTACCACTCTTCTATTTGTTTATCTCCAAAGCTACAGTGTGGACTCCATGAAAGCCTAAACCTTTTGGTCTTCCTCATTGCTGTCTAGTTCCCCCGATACAGTGCCTGGCTCATAGACAGTGTTCAGCAGATGATAATGAATGAATGAATAAATGAACAAACACGTTAAGTTTGAGTGAAGTGAAGCCAAGTGAAGATGTAGAACAGACAAATGGATCTACCACTATGGAGTTCTGGGAAGAGATCTAGGTTGGAAATAAAATTTGAAAACAATTTGAGGAGAAACTACATTAAAACCATAGATCTGGATGAGATCACCTTAGATGAAAGCATAGAAAGATTCTTTTGAAACCAACGTATTATTTATTGATCTGGGCAGTAGAAAAGGGGCCCAGAAAAGGGCCTGCCCTGTGGTCCTTTCTGGGGCTCCAACCTCTCTCACGGAATCCTCAGAGGAACAAAAAGGACCATCGCGACAAGCTTATCCCAGGCACTGCCCATTCTCGGCCGGCCTCCGCGCCCAGGGCCCCCACGCACCTCTGGGGGATCCATCCTGGGGAGCGGCGACTCTCTTGGTCAGCGGACTGCGCTTGGGTCCGCCGGCCTGGGTCTGCAGCCCGTAGGAGAACTGCGGCGGGTCGTTCCAACCGCGCTCCTTGTTGCCTGTGGAGGGGAGGGCAAGTGTGAAGCGAGCCTGGGGGAGCCGGAGGGTCCGCACCCCACGCCGTCACCGTCCCCGGCCTGGGCAGAGACGAGGACCCGGGGACCCCGGCCCGCTGCCGCGCTCACCCGGCTTAACGTACAGCTCCGCCATCTCCCGCAGAGCCAGCAGGGCGACGCGTCACTTCCGGGGCGGCCGCACGTCCTGGCTGCTGGGGGCGCCGCGCCCCGCCCCGGCTGGTTGCCCGGAGCCCTCCCGGTTGGACTGTGGTTGAGAAACGCGGGGAGCCGCTGCGGGAGCCCTGCATCCACTGTCGAAGGGACGGGCCCACATCACGAGGCGCCGAATGTCTTCCAGGAGGCAGCGCTCTGGGAGCCCTAGTACCCTCGATCTCGCCACGTCTCACAATCGCTCTCAGGAGCAAGTTTAAACCAGCAGGAGCTCCTGCCCCACCTACACCCCTGTGACCTAACCAGGTAGACCTCTGAGAACCTCATCCCTGACCACTGCCTCTATGTGTATACCCTCTAGGCTTGATTATTAGTACAAAATTCCTCCCGTTCTCAGATGTCAACTCATTAGGAAGCCTGGTACTGCTTTAGGCCAGGTTGTGTCTCATCTGAGCCCCCACAACCGGCTGAGATTTCCTAGTTTTATTGCATACGGCCTTCTACCTTGTTTGACTTTGCCCGTTTCCTTTTCTGACAGTCTCAGAAAGTGGAAACCGTACTTTATTATATCCCCAGTGCCTGGCACAGAAAAGACCTTAGAAAATATATTTGTTGAATAAGTGACGTCAGATTCCCATCACACCCATGTCCTCCTATGAGTGCAGGCAGCCACCAACACCAGGCACAAGCACAGACACTCACTTCACACAGGTTAACCCCCCAACCCTGCCCCAGGCCCAATATACTCACACCCAGTGAGGTCACTGAGGGATTTTTATTTGTACTGATTTTGCTATAAAGTGTTGCTGAGGTAGAGCCAACTGTCCAGGGCTGGACAGGGGCAAGGAGCACAGGGACCCAGGGAAAGGAGAGCCAGGGCCCCGGGTTGTGGTGCAGGGCCTCTCAGTCATCCATATAAACAATTAATAAACTGGGCAATAAATAAAGGGTACACAAGGTGGGAGGGACAGGCAGAGAAGGCTCCAACGGGTGAGAGGCTGCAGGCCCTTGGGGAATGAAGGGGAAAAGAGGGGGCCATGGACCCGGAGCCTCCTTCCCCAGTCCACCCAGGTCTATTTAGGGCATATGGAGCAGAGAGGGTTTCAGCCGGAAGGCATCAAGAAAGGAGAAGATGCCCCGCTTTCGAGGGGCTGCACCCCCGACCCCTCCTTTGAGCACGGGGAGAGGCAAGGGAACTCCTGGGGAGTCCACGGAGCTGGTCCGCTTGAGCCGCAGGCGGGCACGGGCCTGGGCACCCCAGGCCTTGCCTCGAGCTGCGGAGGCCACAAGACACTTCTGGTACTGAACCTAGGGAGAATGGGTATGTGAGGATCCAGCTCCTTTCTGCCTCAGGATCCCTGAGAGCTTCTGCAGGACAAGGGACTGGCCAAGGCTTCAGTCTGATATGAGGCTGGAAGTCCACCACATCTGGAGCCCTTACAGCACTCCCAGGTAGCTCAAGAACAAAAACATAAAACTTGCCGTTTACTGAGCACTTAAGGGGGCCTGGACACTGTGCTAAATGCTTTGTATAAAGTTGACAACCTGCCCTGGTTGGTGTGGTTCAGTGGATTGAGTGCCGGCCTGCGAACCAAAGGGTTGCTGCTTCGATTCCCAGTCAGGGCACGTGCCTGGGTTGCGGGCCAGGTCCCCAGTGCGGGGTGCATGAGAGGCAACCACACATTGATGTTTCTCTCCCTCTCTTTCTCTCTTCCCCTCTCTCTAAAAATAAATAAGTTTCTGTTTAAAAGTTAACAACCAAGTTATTTATCAGGTATTATCTCCATTTCACAAATGAGGAAATTGAGACTGAGAGACAATACATGACTTACCCAAAGTCACCTAGCCAGAAAGTGGTAGAATTGGGGTTCAAACCTAGTTCTATCTGACTGCAGAGCCTGTGCTCTACACCACGCCTGACCACTATGCTGACTCTCCATCTCTCACTGGAGTGGACTGGCCCCTAGCAAAGTGGATTCTCTGGTCAAGGAGAGTCTTCAACTCAGACTCCATTCCCAATGCAACTGCCCCAATCTTCTCTTATTTGAACTCAACAGGGTCCTAAATGGTCTTCTTGTGTCTTCCAAATTTTACCTACACTATAGCTTAAGTGGTCTTCATAATCCACAAACCTGACTTCACTGTCCTGCTCAAAACCTTTCAATGGCTTAGAGCATCTCAGGATGAAATAAACTCATCACCCGTCTGACTTACAAGTTCTTCCATAAGGTGATCTCTGCCATTCTTTCTGCCCCCATCTCTCACTCCATTCCCCTACCACTCCAGACATGCTGGACTGTCTGATACTCTAGCCCGCCAGCATCTCTCACCTTCACAGCTGAAGTTCCCCATACTTGGCACACCTCCTGCCCTACGCCCCTTCACCTACCTAACTTCCTCCTTGGGCTTTCAATTCTCAATTTCCCACCATGTCTTTCAAGTAGGCTTCTTGAACCCCTGAATGGACCTTCTCCTCCATCATCCTGTGGTGTACAACTTCTTTCTCGTCTGTCTCTGCTTTAACTAAGACTGTGCTCTCTATACTACTGAATTCCCAGGGTCAAGGACAGTGCCTGGTTCCCTGCAGACACTCATATTCGAGTAACTGAAGAGCGAGAGCATTCCACATTCAGGTGCCCACCAGGAAATAAGCTACGTAAAACAAAAAGGGAAAACAATGCCCACCCTACAGGGCACAGCCCCTATACAATTCCAGCTAAATGTTGCAATTTATGCATGTGGATCCAGTGTCAGAGCTTCTGATACTTAAAAAATAAAAAGGAATAGCAATTACTGTGTGAAAAGTCCTGGCCTTTAAATATTAACCCATTAAAACATTAAAAACAGCATGAGGGCTAAATAAAACACTACAAACCCTAGTCAGCCCTGGTATCATTCATTTGTGATTTCTAGAGAGGGTGCCAATCCTGAGCCCCAGCCACCAGGACAAAGCAGCTGCAGGGCAACCCTGCCCACCATCCCCACCCCGAACTCACCATGCAAGCAGCCTGCACAGCTTCAGAGAGTCCCCCTGCATGGGGCTGGCACCAGAAGGCCGCGCACTGGAAGCTCTGACAGCCCAGGTCAGCAATGAGGCCAAAGGTGTGGGGGTCACGGCCAACGCCAATAAAGGTCACAAGGCGCACAGGGCACTGCCACAGTGGCTCCTCCTCTGCATCCGCCTCTGCCTGCCCACACCAGGCCTAGTCACTAGAGGGCCAGGCAAAGGCTGGACCCACTGATCTCTTCCAGCAGCAAGCAATGACCCCCAGCATCCCTGCCCACTGCTCCACGACCCCCAGCTTCACCTTCTGGTACCTGAATGGGATGTGCAGTCATGAGAGAGTCGGACACACTGAGCATGGCAGGGACCCAGGCATCCCGGTCCCCACGGGTGGTAAGGATACCAATGGCCTCGTTCAGCACATCCATTCCTGGGGGAACATGTCCACCATGGTGTCTCCCAGACACAAAGAAAAAGAATCTGCAGGGAGCGCCTAGGCCCATCTCACTGATTTGGAATTTGGAGAGATGGGCAGGGAACTCCTGGGGCTGGGCTTAGAATCCAGAGTTGGGAAGGGTGGTACATCCCAGGCCGCACCGGGCCACGGAAACACGCTGAGAATGATGAGAGGAGCCCACCTCATCCACCTTCCCCTTGCCTCATGCAGCCCACCAGCCCCTCCAGCCCGCTCAGTCCTCACCCATGGCTTTGGTGACTGGCAGGGTCCCCATGTACAGCGCCTCGTACTTCTGAGCAGCCTGACTCACCGCATCCAGCAGCTCCACTGAAATATACACAGCGTGTTGGCCTGGGTGCTCTCTCAACGACCCTTTTCCCCACCCTTCTGAGAGAGCTGGAGCTGGCAGAAGGTAGAAGAAAAGGCCACGAATGCGCCTCCAATTCAGGGCCTGGGATTCCTGGGACCAGGACACTAAGAAGTCCTGTGTCTCCAAGGAAGCACCAAATAGCCAGGACTGCCTTCCCACCTTTCACTAAAAGAGCCTTTGCTGCAGTGCAGAACCGCCTCCCCATACCTTGCCTCGGCAGATCTTCAGGGGAGATGGGGTCCAAGGAACTGCAAGAGGAATGACCACCAACCCCTACTCGCTCTGACAAGATCTGAAACACAGTGCAGCCAGCTTGAGGCACGGGGAGAGGGGAGAGGAAATTGAGGTAAGGGAGCCAGTATGACCCTGCCTCAGCCACCCTGGCAGCTTCAGACCCAGCTCCTTCCCGCATTCCCTGCCCCACTCCCGGCCCTTACCTGGGCACAGAGCCCATGCAGGGCACTGGCAATGGCCTTGGCAGGGACATCACAGCGAAACACATGGCACTTGAGCATACAGCTGTCTTTGTCACCCGCCACAAAAGCGAAGTCCCTGGCAGGTCAGAGATGAGGCTGGGATAGAGGCTGGATAGGGACAGGGGCCTGCAGTGCCTGCAGGAGCCTAGAAAGTCAGGCAAGGGATGCAGCAAGGACGGACAGGGAGGTCAGGGCTGGGGCTCAAGGCACTGGCTGTCACTCACCTGTCACTGTTCCGGAAGCATGTGGGAGCACAGGAGAGAATCAGCTCAGCCTCTCAGGCTGTCCCCCATCTGTCCCTGTGGAGCTGGGCCCACCCTCCCCAACCAGGTTGCGTCAGGCAGGGGAGGCAGTGCTTGGGTCCATGTCAGAGGATCTGTGTCCAGGGGTTCAAGCACAAGGGATCAGCATCAGTGGGGAGCAGAGCATGCAGGGCGGGGCAGAAGGAGCAACTTTCACTCGGGGGGAAGTAGGGGTCCTCACCGGCCCTTGGCGCTACCCACGCCCCATACACGGATGTGCACCAGAGGCTGGCAGTGGATCAGACTGTGGTCCAAGGGATTCACCAGGCTCATGGCATCCTTCTTCAGGATCATTAGCATGTTCTGGCCCTGCCAAGGACACAGCGCAGCCTGGAGCTCAGATGAAGGTGGTTGTCACGGGGAACAGGCAATTCAGAGACAACCACCTCTGTTGGACCCGAGGCTGAACTCCTTGAAGGGCTGGCCAGCTTACCTCACCCCAGGCACCGTCTGGGGGTTGGCTCCGGCTGCGGGTCTGGGCCAGCTGCTGGATGCAGTTATTGACTGCGATACTGCTCTTCCCTGGTACCAGGTCCTCTTCGGGTACCTCTACCCAACCCAGAGAGCGGACCGCAAAGCACTGATGGGTTGGGAGAAAGGGCAGAAGAGCCCCAAGTGAGCAGAGGTGGAATAGGGTAGAAGATGCCACAGGCTCTACACATAAAAAACCTCTGATACCCACTTCCTTCACCCTTGACCATCTCTGCTTAGCCCAATCCCACCCCTGACCTTTCCCTCGGGACCCGTCAATGCCATGGGTTAGCCCTCAGGCCCAAGTCACTACCTTAGCCCCTGGTTCCATGTTCTGGATGTAGGATTCCTCACCATACCAGGACAGAGAGTTGCTGGAACAGAGCAGAGCTCGTAAGTGACCACACTCCCTATAGAAGGGACACTGGTGAAACACAAACTACTTGATAGGCAATAGATGTGGGATAAGACTCAGAATATAGTGTCCCAAATATAAAACCAGAGCAAGACAAGGGCCAGGATGTATTAAATAAATGTAACATAAAGAATGTGACTTAAAATCTGAGGTAAAAATCACGACACGGACATAGACTAAAAGTTGCAAACATGGCTCTGGCTGGTGTGACTCAGCGGATGGAATGCCAGCCTGCAAACCAAAGGGTCGCTGGTGTGATTCCCAGTCAGGGTACATGCTTGGGTTGCGGGCCAGGTCCCCAGTAGGGAGTGCATGACAGGCAACCACACAATGATGTTCCTCTCCCTCTCTTTCTCCCTCCCTTGCCCCCTCTCTATAAATAAACAAATACATTTTTTTAAAATTTGCAAACATGGAACAGGATCTAAAACGTGTTGCCCTGGCTGGTGTGGCTCAGTAGACTGAGTGCGGGCCTGAGAACCAAAAGGTCCTGGTTCGATTCCCAGTCTAGGACACATGCGGGCCGGGTCTCCAGTAGGGGGCACGCGAAAGGCAACCACACATTGATGTTTTTCTCCCGCTTTCTCCTTCCCCTCTCTAAAAATAAATAAATAATAAAATCTTAAAAAGAAAAAATATGGACCAGAGCCCCAAATCAGGACAAGAGACCCTAGAACACAGGATGGGAACCTGTGTTCTAGGGTCTGGAGCCCAGGGCAGTGGCCAGGGTCCAGAACATATGTCAGGGCCCAGAATATGAAAGAGTATGTGGCAAAAGACAGAGCTTGGAACAAGTACAAAAAATCAAAATACTGAGAGCCAAGAACATGGGCCAAAGCCTAGAGCCTGGGCTGGAAAGCAGACTGCGGATCCAGCTGCATGTCTGAGTGCCATGGCACCCAAGCCTTTCATTTGTCCAGGCCTATCTATCCCTGTTACCTCCGGTCCAGTGAGCTCTCCAGGCTGGAGAAGGATCTCCCTTTGGGGGGCCGAAGCTCCCAAATCCCTTCCGTCCTCTGCAGAGAGGGAACTAGGTTAGTGCAGCAGCAGGCTAGGTCCACACGTGGGCTCAGGGCCCCTCCTCACGCTCCACCTACCGTGGACGGCCCCTCTGCATCTCCTGGTTCCCAGGTTGGGCGCTGCCACTGGGTACTACCACTGGGTACATGCCAGTAGTAAGTGCCTGCAGCATCATGGATCTTCCTCCATCCAGGGGGCAGGCCTGGCTCTCCCTCCAGACTCTGGTCCCCCCACAAATCATCTACGGGAACACGTAATGAGAAAGGGGAACACAAGGTTGGAGGAGGGCATAGTGGTCGGTTCAGAAAAACACCTTGTCAACTCTTCTGTTGGAGATCCAGGCTCCCAATCTTGGGTAATTTTTACAGTATGAAGATCAGGGTTCATCTGTATCCTGGTTCTCATCCCGGGACATTGCCCCCTCCCAGTCTTTGGGCCCGGGGGTAGCCCTTCGCGCACCCTCGTCCCCTCTCTCAACTCCCGCTGCTCCCTCCCATCGGGCCCATCCGTGCACACCATCGCAGTTGACCAGAATTATGGCCAGCATGTAATCCTTGCCCAGCATTGCCCCGGCCGCGTCCCCGCCGGCCTCCGCCTGCCTGCACGCTCAGCGCAGCTCGACCTCTGGAGCCGCTGCGCCGAAAAGCCCAGCCTCTCAGCGCCGGTGTCAGCCGAGCCCACGGACACCGCCCAAATACGGGGCGGGAAAGGGGCTGGGTCCAGCTGGTGAAATAGGGCGGGCTGAGCAGCGGCGCCCCGCCGAGGGGTGGTGCGTGTAAACAGGCGTCTGGTTCCCGAGTCGGTGCCCGTTTCGTGCTTGGCTCCAAGGGGAGGAGCACCGTCACCAGCGAACCCACCTACACCACCATACAACTAAGAGCTCCACAAGGGGCGGGTGACCCGCCAGGCGAACGTGTGCTGCGTTCAGACGCACACAAGTGAGATCATCACGCCCGGGTCGTAGGCGTGCGCGCACGCGCAGCCTAGGAAGCGACAGCAATTTCTTTGGGCAGGCTACCGCCTGGGCTCCGGCGCCAAGAAAGTGAGTCCACCCTTTCCAAAAATACCCCGGAAGTGCCTCCGCTCTAGGTACTGATGGCTGTGGCACTTGGCGTGAGGGAGGCGGGGCTGCGCCTGCGCACCAAGTTCGGCGGGGAAGATGGCGGATGACAAGGTGAGTGACCATGGGGGTGATCTGCAATCACGGTAGTATTCACACCTTTTTAATCTTGGGGAAAGACTACACTAGAGCAGCTCATGGTTGGGGGTGCCCCTTGTATTCTCTGGCGATGGACTTTTGCTCCTGTTGGCGGCCTCAACAGTGGGAAGTAGAGTGGCGGAGCGCTACGCGGGGCAAACCGAGCCCCCAGGTGTCCCCTGTGGGGGACCATCACGATCCCTAGCTACACACACTCAATCCCTTTCGCTCTGACACACTCCTCACTCTGCTTCATTCCCTAGCCCTCTAAATTTCCCCTCCCAAAGACACGTTTCCGGTTCACACTGGCACACCTTCATTCAATCGCTGTTTTGGGCATACACTGAATTTCATACTTACATGCGCTCAAAATCACTCAGTTCATTTACCCACACTCTCCAGACAACCATTACCCATCCCCTACCCTCATGCACGCGTGTGTAGTCACACATTCAGTTTGGGAAGGCCTTGGGGGGCAAGTGGGAGAAGCCTCGGCAGAAACTAGATTTACCCCCAAATTGTCCAGGGAGCTGCTTCGGCCCATTTCTTACCTTTGGTCTGGAAGTTTAGCACCAGTCACCTTTACCCTGCATTAGGCCTTGGGACTTATTAGACAGGACTTACTGGTCTCCACTTCCAGATAGCTTATGGTCGAGTCATTAGTACTTTCCTGATCTGATTGAAGGGCCATCCCCTGCCTGTCCTCCCCACCTTCCCTACACATTGCTTACTATATACAGCTCTTGTAAGTTACTGATGCCCATGCCATCTGTTATCCCCTCCCTGGGCCCAACGTGAGTTCTCTCCTTTTCAGTGCTTTCCTTCCTTTACCACTGTCCTCTTAGGAAGGTATTATATGAAGAGGTTTCTCAGGCTCACCCCATCCCAGCCTCTGAGGGACTTGAGCAGGAGATGGGCCTAGGTCAGTCTGCTGGAGCCAGTGTATCCTTTGTCCTAGGACTCTCTGCCCAAGCTTAAGGACCTGGCATTTCTCAAGAACCAGCTGGAGCGCCTGCAGCAGCGTGTGGAAGACGAAGTCCATAGTGGTGTGGGACAGGTAAAGGCTGCTTCTGACCCCACCCCCTGGGCTTCATTGCCCAATATGCTTTAGAATCGGTGGTAGAGATTTATTCAGCAAATGGTTACTGAGGCCCTGTTCTTTGTAACTTTAAGGAATGTTTCCCTGAGAAAAATGACACTTGAACTTGATTCCAAAAAGGTGGCTAACAAGAGCGGAGGAAGGAATATTCCAGGCAAATGGAACAACATAGGCAAAATTCTTGTGTTGGGAAATAGCATGATGAACGTGGGGGTGAAAGAAGTTCAGTTTGGCTGCGGTAGTGGGAGAACATGCTAGGAAATGAGAAGCAAGCAGGGGTCAGATTCCTCAGGGACATCTCTGTTGCCTTGTTGCAGTAAGGTTCTGTGTTTGGAGCCTTCTAACCCTAGGGTTCTGAGATTCTGTAATCAGGACTCCTGAGTTATTTTGCTGCCTCCAAGAATCTCGAGAAAAGTCTTTGGAGATAACACCATGGCTCTCCGGAGTAAGGAGGAGCAGCTGGCGGAATTCTCTAAGCCCAGCTTGAGTAGCTCCTGGTTAGAGGAGGGAAGAACCTACTGAGTTTCCTCCTGAATCTTCTTCCACAGGATGGCTCTCTCTTGTCCTCCCCGTTCCTCAAAGGCTTCCTGGCCGGCTATGTGGTGGCCAAACTGAGGGCATCAGCAGTATTGGGCTTTGCTGTGGGCACCTGCACTGGCATCTACGCAGCTCAGGCATATGCTGTGCCAAATGTGGAGAAGACACTGAGGGACTATCTTCGGTCACTGCGCAAGGGTCCTGGCTAGCTCTGGATCCCATGGGGAGGTAGGATGAGCCGCTGGGACCTGCAGGTGGACACCTCTCGACCACAGACACCACATCTGGCTTCCCCAGCTGCCACTCATTTGCTGTCTCCAACTTTCCTGCCACCTTTGTCCTTGCTTCTCTTCCTGCAGAGGATGCACAGTGGCTCATAGCCTCCACCCCGGACTCCTCCTTTCTTCCCTAACCCCATGGGACTGATCCCAAGACTGTGGCTTCTAGGGCCACCAGACCTTTTCCCGCCCTGACTGTGGAGTTCGCAGCTGACTGTGATCCTTAGCATTCTCTCTAGCCGTGTACCACGGCTCTTCCCTCCCGGCAGCCGGCTCCATGTTTTGATTCTCTGCAAACCTGTCACAATCTTCACTGCCCCTTGCTAGTTACACAGGTTCCCCAGGGTCTGGTGTGAGCATGAGTGTAGAAGATGGGGGTGTGGCAGGCCTGGGCCGTCCTAGGCAGGCCCGCTGGACCCTGATGCTACTCCTGTCCACTGCCATGTATGGTGCCCATGCCCCATTGTTGGCACTGTGCCACGTGAATGGCCGAGTGCCCTTCCGACCCTCCTCAGCCGTGCTGCTGACTGAGCTGACCAAGCTGCTGTTGTGCGCCTTCTCCCTCCTGGTGGGCTGGCAGGTGTGGCCCCAGGGGGCTCCACCCTGGCGCCAGGCTGCCCCCTTTGCACTGTCCGCCTTGCTCTATGGCGCTAACAATAACCTGGTGATCTATCTTCAACGTTACATGGACCCCAGCACCTACCAGGTGCTGAGCAATCTCAAGATTGGAAGCACGGCCCTGTTCTACTGCCTCTGCCTCCGGCACCGCCTCTCCGCACGCCAGGGCCTAGCACTGCTGCTGCTGATGGCAGCGGGGGCCTGCTACGCAGCCGGTGGCCTCCAGGACCCTGGGAACACCCTTCCTGGGTCCCTTCCAGCAGCTGCGGCTGGCCCCGTGCCCCTGCACATCACTCCACGGGGACTGCTGCTCCTCGTCCTGTACTGCCTCATCTCAGGCTTGTCGTCTGTGTACACAGAGCTGTTGTTGAAGCGACAGCGGCTGCCCCTGGCCCTTCAGAACCTCTTCCTCTACACGTTCGGTGTGCTCCTGAACCTAGGTCTGCATGCAGGGGGCGGCCCTGGCCCGGGCCTCCTGGAGGGCTTCTCGGGATGGGCGGCGCTCGTGGTGCTGAGCCAGGCGCTGAATGGACTGCTCATGTCGGCTGTCATGAAGCACGGCAGCAGCATCACACGCCTCTTTGTGGTGTCCTGCTCACTGGTGGTCAACGCTGTGCTCTCGGCCGCCCTGCTGCGGCTGCAGCTCACAGCCGCCTTCTTCCTGGCCACACTGCTTATTGGCCTGGCGGTGCGCCTGTACTATGGCGGCCACTAGCTCTTGACCACCTCCACCCTGACTCCCGACCCTGGAGATGGGGCGTTGCCATAGAGCTGCCTCCTGGCCCCCCTTCCCCTCAGCAGCCCTGTAACAAGTGCCTTGTGAGAAAAGCTGGGGAGGCGAGAGTGGCCAGGTGGGTGGATGAAGGTACGCCCCTGAGAGACCTGTAGAGTGGCTTTGATTAAGAAAACTGGAAACCTTCAAACACCCCCTCCCACCCCAGTTCTTCCTAAGGAATTAAGGGAGCATCAATACCTAGGCCTGAGAAATGACCATTCCTGATGGGGAAGGTTCCCTGCCTCGTCCTGCATGAGTGCAGTTGCTTAAAGTGGGCCGTGGATGACAGTTGGTTTTCCTTGCCTTCTGTGGCCACCCCAGCAGACCCACAGCCCCAAGACCTGGTGCTGGCTGCCCAGCCCGGCTGTGGTACGTGATCCCCCATAAAGGACACTCGCCCCCAACTGGCTTGCGGGAAAGCGCAATTGCCACAGGTTCCACGCCCATAGGCTCGGCCATTCCTCCGAGCTCCTCTGGCTCCAGCAGCATCTGGAGACGGTGCCCCCTGCTTCCTCCACAGTGCTGCTCTCCACACCCAGCCTTTGTTCTAGAAACCCCAGAGGGGCTGGGGCTTAACTCATCTCAGGAAATGTCCCTGGGCCCTGGCTTAAGCCTATACTCCTGACCTCTCTACTCATCCAAAGACCCTCTTGAAGCCCATTGCCCTGCCCCCTGTATAGCTCCTAGGAGTTACCATTCTTCCCACTCTAGGTCCTGCTCCTGCCTAGTAATGTCCCAGCTCCCAACAGCCATGGAAGTTCTATGCAGGGTGACCTGGGACCAGGCACAAGGAAACTTGTATAGCTCAATCAGTGTCTAACTGCATCAGTAATAGGTCTTAATAAAGCTTTCTGGAGTGCAGGCAATTCCTACAATCAGCCATGACCTGTGTCCTGCGTCTTCTGTGTTGCATAGCTCCTCTCAAACAATTGTATTCCTGACACCCTTAGTACTTTAACTAAGTACTAAGGGGAAAGGCTGTTCTCTTGAAGTTTTCTTGAAGCACAAAACTTGGGTGTTGGGGAATTTGGAGGCCGCTTGGGAGTAGAAGGCACTAGGCCCAACAGGACAAACTAGACTCTAGGCCAGAGCATTCTTAAGGACTCGGTGTGGTTACGATTCTCATTCCCTCTAGGTCCCTCGCTGCCTGTCATAGCCAGAGGAATATTAGGCCCTGCTCCTGTGGTAGAATACTTGGTAAACTTGTTTTCAAAAATGCCCTAGTTCTATTGAAGTAGTTTCTTAGGGAATGGGGTTTCAGAATCATCTTAAAGGAACTCCGGAGGTGATTCTGATGCAGACTTGTGAACTGCTACTCACTGCTGTGTAGAGCTCTAGCCAACCAGACTTGAATGCAAATTCCGCCTGTGTTACTTAGCTGACTCCTTGGGCCGGTGCTTCACATCTATCTTTATCTGCCTTAGCTCTGAAATGGGGGTCAATGGTACCTACAACGATTTTGGGTAGTAGGAAAGGTTAAATGAAATAATGGACATTAGGTGCTTAGCAGGGACTGGTACAATGACACCTGGTTAGTGGTGGTGTTAATTACAGTGAAGGTTAGCTTGGTATTGTGTCTCAACTTCCTCTTCCTTCTAGGGACCAGTAAGAATAAAGGAGAGAGGGCCCTGGCTGGGTAGCTCAGTTGGTTAAAGCATCATCTTGATACGTGAAGGTTGCGGTTTTGATCCGCTTTCAGGGCATATACAGTCAACCAATGAATGCATAAATAAGTGGAACAACAAATTAATATTTTTCTCTCCCTAAAATCAATAAATAAAAATTTTTAAAAAGTATGAGAGAGGAAACTGCCTCTGAAGGATTCCTGGTCACCAGAGTTTTCCCCAGGGCAAGGATCCGGCCTAGTCTGCAACCTGCTGAGACTGCTGGTTCTGGGCTCGGAGCTCCTGGTTCTGGGCTCGGAGCTCCCGGTTCTGTGCAGCCAGGGTGATGGTGTCTTGCAGGATGCCAGCCAGCAGGCGGCGGTGGTGATGCTCTGCGGTCGTGGTCCGTTCCTCCCACAGCGCCCGCCACGCTCGAAACACCTGTGCCCAGATTCAGAGATGTCTTGTCAGTTAGCCAGCCTTGTCACCAGCTCCAGGCCTGTCCCTACTGACCTGTAGCAAGTGGCATGTCTGAGCTCGAGTGGCCTTCACGTGCAGGTCATAGAGGGCTAGCAGGTCCTGCTCCGCAGCGTCCCGCTCCGCCTGAAGAGCCTCCAGCTGCAGTCTCAGCGCTGCCTGCTCACGGTGCTGTCTCTGGCCCTTCTTGGAGGTCTTCAATGAAACACAGTTAGCCCTTCATATCCACAACCCATTTGTGTATTCAACCAACCACAGACTGAAAATATATTTTCTAAATGTTACATTATTGCTGATGTGTACTATGTAGTTTGGCCCATGGTGGCTGCATGTCTGAACCAAACGTACAAACTTTTTTTCTTGTCACTATTCCCTAAACAATGCAATACGTCAACAATTTACATATCATTTCCATTATATTAGGTATTATAAGTAATCTAGAGATGATTTAAAGTATCCAGAAGGACGTGTGAAAGTCACATGCAGATACTGTGCCATTTTATATGGGAATGTGAGCATCTGTGAATTTTGGTGTCCACGGGGGTCCTAAAACCAACCCTCCGTGGATACCAAGGGACAACTTTCTTGAGTGCCACCTGTATACCCACTTTGTTCTACATCATGTATATGATCTCATTTTACCGAATGTCAACCCTATGAGGTAGTTGTCGTTTTACAGATTTGGAAACCAAATCGGAGGAGTGACTTAACGTGCCCACATTCACATGGCTAGTGAGGGGCAGGGCTGGGATGACGGGCCTTTCAAAGGTTCCCCATCATCCTCAGGATAAAGCCCAAATCCAGAGGCGTGGCTCACGCTGACCTCAGCCGTGCCCCTGTGCATGCACCTGCCAGGCTCCGGGCCAGAGTTTGCAACACCCAGGACCCGTCTTGCCAGTGCCTGCCTCGGGACCTTTGTTCATACGGTATTGTCCTCTCTAGAACATGTGTTTCTCCACCCCATGCACGTAAGTTTTGTTTTTTTAATTTGTTCAGACGAGTTATATGTACTGAGCGCTTCTGTGTGATGAGCAGACTGCCGCTGCAGGGCTCAGAGTCTAGTGGATCTCTCTGGCTGCTTCACTTGTCCTTTACTTTGCAGGCTGGGTGCCGTCTTCTCTGATCCACTCCAGCCTGGGTCAGTACACCTCTCTGTTCCCACCAGCCCCTAGCTCCCCCCATCACAGCACTTAGCACCAAGAATTGCCTCATGGATTCCCTACAGGGATGTCAGGGCCAGGAGAGAGGGTGTCACCAGTCTGCTGTGATTGACCCTGGATCTCAGCACCTCAGTACAGTGCCTGGCCCAGTTAGAAGCAGCTAAAGTCCCCTACATGACCCTCCTCACCTCCTCTCCTGCCACCAGGCCTTTGACCTGGTCACCTGCCTCCTCCTGTTCCAAGCGCTTCAGTTCCTCTTGGATCCAAAGCTGGTGCTGTTCTCGCAGTCTCTGCCTCCGGGTCTGAGCCAGGAAGAACTGCAGGGCCATATCTGGGGCCTGTCAGACGTAGGTGGCATCAGTTTGGGCTCAGCCAGGAGCCCATGCAGGCACCGGGACAGAGGGGCCAACATCTCCAGCAGAATCCCACTGCCAGTGCTACTCCCAGAACTACAACCCAGAACTAACTGGCAGGAGGGAGCCTATAGTCTGGACAGAGACTCGGAGGCCATGGTTAGGGGGGAAGAAAAGTATTTGCTCTGCCAATAGATGCTGGGGAGGCCCTAAGGATCGCATACTCCTGATCCAGCCCAGTAGGAAAACAGGGCCTTCCCGTGCCCCTCCCTCAGGGATCCAGGAGACCTTCAGGTCCTTTATTTGCCAGAAGTGCCATCTCTCTCCCTGTTGCTGGGGCAGGGTAAACCCCGTATTAACTGGGCTCTGCAACTCTGCACTCCCCCAACAGCCTTCCACTGCTCTGGGCTACACGAGGGTACCTGTTCCTCAGAGGCCCTGAGAGGGTGGTTTTGGAGGAAGCCAGGTCCTAGAGATGCTGCTCTCCCTGCCAGTGGAGGAAAATGCAATTAAGCCCATCAATGGTGAAGACCCCAGCTCCACCCCAAGCCCCAGACCCACCTTGGCGTTCTCCCTGGAGGCCTGGGCTGGGGCTTGCTTCTGAGTCTATCACCTGCTGAGAAGATAATAGGAGTGGGGAGTCCACCTGCTTCCTCCCAGGGCCCTGCGAGTTAAGTTCAAGGCTATGAAATCAAACAGATCAGGGTCTCTGCGTCTCCTTTTCTTAGCTGTATAACCTCCAGCAGGTGACTGGTCTTCTGAGTCTTCATTTTCCTCATCTATCACATGGAGCTGATTAAAGTTATAGAGTAGGGAATGGAATAAGGCACCCAAAGCACTGAGCAGAGACAGGCACTGCTCAGTAAATGGGAGCTTAATTCCCAAGGCCCAGGGCTGTAAAACCAAGTTGTAAATAATTGTGAAAAGGGTAAAACCAGAAGAAGCTAAACAGGGGCAGCCTTCCAGCCACCCTGTGGCAATCATGGAAAATAGTACCCCCTCCTGCACAGGAGTGCACATCCTGAGAGGACGAAAGAGCACCGCATGGAGTCTAAGGACTTAGGCATCTCCACCTACGCAGACTTGGATTATCCCAGTATCCCTTGGATACTCTCTTCCCTTCTCTGAGCCTCAGTTTGCTCACATGAAAAGCGGGAGCAGCCCTGGCCAGGTGGCTCAGTTGATTGGAGCATTGTCCTGTGCACCAAAAGGTTGCGGGTTTGATCCCCAGTCAGGGCACATACCTAGGTTGTGGGTTTGATCCCCAGTCAGGGCACATACCTAGGTTGCGGGTTTGATCCCCGGTCAGGGCACATACCTAGGTTGTGGGTTTGATCCCCGGTCAGGGCACATACCTAGGTTGAGGGTTTGATCCCCGGTCAGGGCACATACCTAGGTTGAGGGTTTGATCCCCGGTCAGGGCACATACCTAGGTTGAGGGTTTGATCCCAGGTCAGGACGCATATGGGAGGCAACCAATTGATGTTTCTCTCTCTCTCTCTCTCTCTCTCCCCCAGTCCTCTCCCTTCCTCTCTCTCTCTCAAATCAATAAAATATCCTCAAGTGAGGATTAAAAAAAGAAAAAAAAAAGTGGGAGTGATGCTGTCTTCCTAGCTTGAACTACTTCTGTGGCTTCCTGTGGACTGTCAAGATGAAGTCCAAACACAACAGATTTACAGAGCCCTGTATGACCTGACCCCTACTTCCTCCTCCAACCTTCTCTCCTGACTCTCTTCCTCATACTTTATTCTCCAACAAATTGAGCTGTTTGCAGTCCTCCAAAGAGATCAAGCACCTGCTTACCTCTGAGATTCTTGTTATTTTCTCTGCCTAAACGTTCTTCATGTTTTGTTAGCCACCTCTGCCAGGAATCACCTTCCCCTGAAGTCTTCCTTCCCTTTCTTGCCAAGACTAACTTAGATGCCTCAGAGAACCTTGTGTTGATAAGCCCTTTAAATTAGCACTGATGTGATGTTGTAATTGTTTCTCCCCAGCAGATTATAAACTCCACAAGGACAGGGGTTTCCCAGGGCCTACATGGTACTGTGCCTAGCACATAGTGAGTGGTCAATAAATGTTTGGGAATCAATAAATTAATGAGTAAAGGAAGGGCCCCCTCGGAGTGCTCTGTAAAGAGGAAAGGAAAGCAGACGTCAGTGGGGCTCCCAAAAGCTTGGGTAAAAAGACATACCTGTGGTTCTGGTTGCACCGCAGTCTCAGCTTTGACCCCTTTGCGCAAGCGGCTGCCTGGGTGCTGGCTCCAGGCCTTTACCACCTATGGAGAGACGGTTCAAGGTGGGCTCTGGCCACTGCTGGCCTAGCCACCTTCAGGGCTCACCTCGCTCACCTGCAACTCCCGCAGCGCCCTGCCCAGCTGGCTGAGCCGCCCGTCTGTCAGCGGGACCCCAAGGAGGCCTGAACGCAGGCTCTTCAGGCCAGCCCGGCGGGCTCGGGCCTCTTCCGCTGCATCCCACAGGGTGGGCTTCACCTGTTTTACCTGCATCCTCCTTCTCGAGGCCCCCAAGAGGGCAGCCTGGAGCAAGCTCAGGGAGTTGCCTGGTAAATGGAGACAGAGTGAATCACTCCTTCTTCTGGACTCCAAAGCATACTGCCTGTGGCTCTTTTAGTTTTTATTAATAGCACTATTCATCAAAACAGCTAACACCTATCAGGCTTTTTCACATGTGCTTGATGTCACCGTGCTAAGGCTCTCTCAGTGCCTCTTTTTATCCACACAACTCTCCAGTGAGGCAACAACTCTAAAAGTTTTATCCTGCCTCCCCCCACAGTTTCCAGATGAGGCAACTTAGGCTCAGAGAAACCAAGCAACGTCCTGGTGACTGGCAGAGCTGAAAGTCAAGCCCAGGTCTGCCTGGGCCCTTCATCAGGACACTGAACTGGCCTAGGAACAGGTGTCGAGCTCACTGCTTTATCCCTGAGGGTGTGAACTATCCCAACTCATCTTCCACAGCCCCAGGGCCTGGGGGGGGGGGGCGGGAGGGGGCGGGGGAAGTCTGGGAATATGTTAACCAGATGAGTATGTGTTTGTTGATTTTAGAAACAGTTAGGAGGCCAGAGTTTGTTGTTTTTAATGGGTGTGTGAATATAGGCAAGGTTACCGTTCTCTTTTTCTAATCCTCGTTTTCCTTGTTTGTAAATTAGATCTGCCTCCTGGGGGTTTAGTAAAAACTAAAGGTATTAGTGTAAAAATGCTTGGTAAACTGTTGAAGGCCTCTGAAGGGTGAGGGGTTGTTTTCACTATTGGCCCTGCCTCTCCGACTTCCGCCAGCGGCCACCCTGGGAGCTTTCTGAACCCTGGCTTTCCCAGAGAGTCAGGCTCTCTCCGGGCTGGGGCTGGGGCTGGGGCTGGCTGGGTGAGAGGGGAGCAGGCCTGAGGCCAGACCCCAGAGCTTTCTAAAGAACCCCAAGCTCCCCACGCTCCCCCCGCCACCACAGGCCACCTTGAGGGTCCACGCGAAGAAGAAGGCCACTGTAGTTGTTTCCTTCCAGGAGCCATGAGACAATCCAGGGCAGAGAGCCCTCCACCTCCTCGTTGACAGCCGTGCCAGCCAACACCTGCAGCAGGGGGCAGTCTCTGCCGGGGGGGGGAGGGGAAGAGGGAGAAACATGCCACTGGTGGATGGGGAAAGAAGCTGTGCCAAATCCCGCTCTGATGGAGCGTTTGACTATTTCCTGTAACTCTGGGCATTATCACACAGATTTGCAACCTTGTGTAGATTTTTATTTTGTCACTGTTATTTAATTACACAAATAATATAGTCTCATAATAAAAAAATTAAATTGTCTACCAACTATACACTTGTATCCAGAATATATAGAGCTCTTACACCTTAGTAAGGAAAAGACAAATGACCCAGTTTTAGAATGGCAAAGCAAGGTGACATCAACAAAAATGGCAGAGTAGGGAACTCCGGGCATCTGTCTCTCCCCAGAAACATCTGGCAAAAATGGCCAGAATCACCCTTGCTAGAACTCTGGGAGATAGTCAAAGGTTTACAGCAACCATGTGAATGCTTATCCAGGAGAAAGGCCTCTTAAATATAATAAGAAATCTTTGTGATGTTTGAGCTTAACCTATCCCCAGTCTCCTCCCCAGCACAGAGCTGTCTTGTAGACAACACTCCATGTTTCCAGCCAAGGTGCCTGGCTCTGGGGGGAGCAGAGCAGATCTTGTTTCCAAGGAACTGTGTTTGTCTGTTTTGACCCGAAGGGTTGACCAAAGAGGATTCCTTTTGGTTAACTTTTCTTGGAACTCTTTCAGGGCAGCTCGGCTACACCAGAGAAGTAAAACATTGAAAACATTGTTTTAAAAACATAACCTTCCCCGCCCCAAAATATTGAAAGATGAAAGAACAAACAAAAATAACAATTGGAGCCCAGCCAGTGCAGCTCAGCTGGTTGGAGCATAGTCCCATAAACCAAAATGTCATGGGTTCAATTCCCATTCAGGGCACATGCCTGGGTTTCAGGTTCAATCCTCAAGAGGCAAGTTTGTCTCTCACATTGATGTGTCTTTCCTTCTCTCTCTGCTCCCCTTCCCCTCTCTCTAAAAGCAATTTAAAAAAAAAAAAAAGCAGTTGAGGTAGACCATAGATACATGGAAAGAATCAAAGGAAAAGTTGGGGAGTGAGATTTGGGGGGAATAAGGACTTTGAACACGTCCCAAGTGTACTAAGGAACCTAGAAAGCCAAGCACATGCCCAGATAGGATACTCCCTCAGAAAGGCCCTAAGAAGGCTCGGCAGGAGGTGAGGCTAACACAAAGCTATAAGTAGCTTGGCTAAGGACAAGGGAGCAACCCAACACAACACAGAGCCAATCTGTAGACATCTGGGGAATGTTTTGTCCTTGTCCTCCTTCCTATCCTTCGCCTCCTCTCCTCCTCTTCCTTCTTTTTCCCACTCCTTCCCTTTTTCTTCCTTTTTTAAGTGGTTTTGGGTTTTTTGTTTGTTTGTTTGTTTGTTTGTTTTCACGTGTGTGTCCCAGGAATTGAAAGAATTCTGTCAGGTCACTGGCTAACCACTAAGATTAGAAGGGAGACTTCAGTGACCACAAAGAATTCAGTCTTTGCAAACATTGTTTGGAAAGGCAACTAAGCAAATAGATGGCTTCATCCCTTAACGAGCAACAACGCAAACCCTGGAGAGGAGGGCCGGGCTGGTTTTCAGAGTTACTCCATCACCGTATCCAAAATGTCAGAGCGCCAAGGGGAAGGGTGGAGACCTAAGAGACCAACACAATGAATGCAGACTTTACAAAAAGTACGCCAATTGGCCAGATTCCAACCAGAAAAAAGGATGAGGTCTGCAAATAAACAAGAAAGTATGACTCATTTATGGGGAAAAGCACGGACATTGAACTCACTAGACAAACACTCTAATTCAGCTGTATTAAATGTGCTCAGGAAACTAAAGAAAATCAACAAAATTATGTCTCAGTGAATAGAGGATCTCAACAGAAGGGCAGAATTTACTTTTTTAAAAAGTAGAAATTCTAGACGTGAAAAACACTATAACTGAAACTAAAAATCCACTAGAGGGCAGAGTTGAGCAGACGCAAGAAAGAATCTCGTCCACCTTAATGGTAGGTCCAACGAAGTTATCCAGTCTGAGGAGCAGAATGAAAAAAGAATGAAGGAAAATGAAACTAAGAGACCCGTGGGATGCCATCAAGTATAAAAAGACATGCATAATGGGAGCCCAGAGGGAGGAGAGAGACTGAAAGGGGCAGAAAAAATACTTGAAGAACTACCGCTCAAAAATTCCCCAAATGTTATGAAGGACATGATGAATCTATACATCCAACAAGCTCAAAAAATTCCAAGGAGGATAAATGGAAAAATATCTGTCAACTAAGAATTCTATATCTGTTAAAACTATTCTTTAAAAATGTAGGAGAAATGAAGATATTCCCAGATAAGCAAAGTTGAAGGGAGTTGATTGCTAGTAGACCTGCCTTACAAGAAATGCTGAACAGAATTCTTCAGCCTGTTGGAGGCAAGGAAAGGAGAGGCTCAGAGGCTGCCCTGGACCTCAACACCCGCATTCCAGTCGCGCCCTCCTCACCCCACCCCATATTCAAGCCGTCAGACTCACGGGGCTCCTGGGAGCTGCAGGATCCTCAAGGCCCCTCGCCATACACTTTGAGTCCCAGGACCTTTAGGAGGGTCAGGCCCTGGGCGGGACATAGTGACAGTAAGCAGAGAGCAGGCCCTGTGGAGGAGAGGCTAGGATCAGGCCGAACACCTAAGAAGTAGGAGGTGACAGGAGGTACCCTCTTGTCCTCACCCTCCTGCACCCGCTGTGGCCCGCAGGTACAGTTCTGAGGCGGCGCTTGGGTCGGACACCTGCACTTCACTGGCGTCTTGCACCACCCTGCAGGGAGGCAAGGCTGAGCCTAGCACTTAGGCACCAGAGTTCCCCAGAACCTCTGCCTGGGGAGCCCTTGGGGCTCTCAAGAGCCTGTAAGAATCATTCCCAAGGCTCCAAGCTCAGTACATCCCCTAAAAGCCCCTCGTCCTCATGACCTTATTATTTTTTTTTGTCCTGTCATCTGCCCAGCAAAGCAAACAGGGCAGTTGGGATCACTCCCATTTTACAGATGGAGAAACTGAAGTTCTGCTCAGTGAGATGCCTGAATCAATCGGGATAATGATTGAGTTGAAGAGGTATAAGTGGATGGGCGAGAGGAGCAAGAAGAAACGGGATATGGGATGAAGGAAAGAGGGTGAGAAGGAGTCCTGAGAGCTAATCGGGGCCCTGTAGGCATGACCCCAAGCTCAGAGCTTCCCTCCTCTGCGGCGGCCGTGGGGAGAAACCTCCAGGAGTTTGGGAGCATCACACTGCCTTAAGAGAAGCACCCTTCGAGACTCTCTTAGGCCCCGGGCACTCACAAGCCTAGAGGGGCCACAGCCAGCACCGACAGGTTCTCTGCCCTTGGAGACAGCAGGTCACGAGTCCTCCTGCTGGGGCCGAGCTGGGATCACACAAACACAACTGCCGCTACACACCAAGCCTTTACCCAGCTTTCAGCTCACACGATCTTCACACTGGAGCTCCGTAGGCCAGGTGTGCCACCATAATTCAGCCATTTCAGGCAGGAGAAAGGAGACCCCAGAAAGGCAAGCCCGCATTGGTGAGCAGCAGAAAGGAGCCAGAGCCAGGCTCCTGCGGCTGCCCTCCGGCCTCAGGCTCCTTCTGGAGCATGACCATGCCTTGGCTCCCTGGGCCCCCCTTTCCTCCAGGGTCTCACCTGCACCAGGCTAAGAGTACTAAGCACAGGATCAGAGCCTCCAAGAAGCAGAGCTTCCTCAAACAGCATCTGCAGCAGCTAAAGTAGGAAAAAAAGGGGGTTCAAAAGGAATTGAGGAATGAGTTGACTAAGGGATTGACAAATGTTTTTCGACATCTCTTGAGGGTGAAGTCTGTGCTGCATCCTGAGCTTGGTGTTGGGAAAACGGTGTCCAGAACAGAAATAAGCCCAGGCCTCACAGCTCACAGGAACTAGACAAGTGAGCAGACGTTTTTAGTGGGACCTGCTGTTTGCTGGGGCACAGGCCCATGACAAGGTTCTGAGGGAGCTATTTTGATTTGGGGACATTTTGATGAAATCCTAAAGAATAAAACTTTCAAGTTTATCATTATTAGTATTATCAAGAACTGTGAAAATAATATCCCTCTGGGTATTTGATCTTCGCACACCACCCCTCCCTGACCTTCACCCCATCCAGCCCCAGCCTCCTACCTTCTCTGACCTGCCAATTGCTGAACAAATTGACCCTGGCCAAACATCCTGTATGGACTGCAGTGCTCGCTAGGGGCCCTAAGGAGGGGTACCTAGTTCAGCTATGGTGGGGAAAGGAAGATTCTCGAAGGTCCCCTAGAAGAGGCAATACCTGAACCTCGTGATACCTGTACCTGGTGGCTCCTCTGGGACTCACCTGAGGCACGAGGCGGGGTGCCTCTGTTTCTCGACCCCGAAGCAGCAGGGCCACACTGTATCCTCGGCCCACAGAGCCCATCGTCGGCCTGACCTGCGCCAGCAGCTCCTGCTCTGCCTCCTACCAGAGACACAGACACAGCCCCCCCCATCCCAGGTGCCCTGACCCCGCCTGGCCCAGCAAAGAGCTCTGCAAGCACTCAGCACCCCGGGTGCCAGGGGCCTGAGGACGCCCATCCTCCTCCCGTCACTCCTGCCGGACCCCTTACCTGAGCAGCCTCAGAGCCCAGGACTCTATCGAAGACGATGCATTGTTCCTGCACGCAGGCCTGGGGTCAGCAGGGTGGCTCCCACGTTCCCTGCCCCACCCACACTCATCCCATCTCCACCTGTGTCTCCAGAGTCCCCGGATGAAGCAGGTGGATGCGGTTGGACCCCTCCAGAAGGAGTGTGGGGTGACAGGTCTCCTCAGGGCCTAAGAAAGGTGGACTTCGTATCAACTTATGAGGAAGGCTGAGCTCCCAGGACTCCTGCGTCCTGCCCTCAGCCTTGGCCTCCGTTTCCCATCCTGAGATGGCTGAGCCCTCTCCCTCTCCCTCTCCCAAGGGGCTCCCCCGTGCTGCACTCCCTCTGCGAACGAGTGCGTGTCCTGTGCTCTCTCACCTGATCCTCTCCCCCGCTCCACTTCCACCACCACTGCGAGCATGGCCTGGGGTCTTCCGTGAGGGCCGCAGGGGCCGAACTGCCCTGCACAGACCAGCCCCCGCGCTCACCGCCTCTCCGTACTCTGCAGCTTCGTGCCTCTCAGATTCCCCTCAATAATTCATCTTGGATATGAGGATCTGTGGGTGGGGCCTCCAAATAATAACTTGTCAAAAGATGCAACAGTCTCCTCTTTTCCATGTTAGAACATTGCGTGGGATGCTTCTTTTTTTCCTCTTAGGAAAAATGTTCTACATATCTGGTTGTGGAGAGAATAATATAATGAACCCCCAAGCCCCCAGGTTCAGCAATTGTCAACATACGGCCGGTCGTATTCCCCCTGTTCCCCTCCCTATGCCCAAAGGATTCTTTTGAAGCAAATCCCAGATATCCTTTTATTTCATCCATAAATATTTCAGTATATATTTATAAAAAAGTAACCATCCCTTTAGAAAAATAACAGCTTTATTGAAACACAATTCATATACCATTCACCCATTTAAAGTATACATTTCAATGGTTTTTGGTATGTTTGCAGATATATGTAATTATCACCACAGTAAATTTTAGAACATTTCCATTATTTTATGAAGAAACCTAGTTCCCTTTCCTATTATCTCCTTAACCACCCCCGCCCCAATCCACCCTTACTCTCTAATCCTTCTGTCTCTGTAGATTTGCCTATTCTGAGCATTTTGTATAAATGGACTCCTAGAACATGTGATCTTTCTGTGACTGACTCCTTGCACTTGGCACAAGGTTTTCAAGGTCCCCCCAGGTTATAGCATGCATTGGCGCTTCCTTCCTTTCTATGGCTGAATAACGTTCCACGTAGGGATGGAGTGACTTCTGTCACCCACCACCCAGAGTTTGGCCACACTTCACAGCTAGGAGCACAGTCCTTCACAAGGCTGCCCCTATTTCAGACACTGGTCTCAAGCTCAGGGGTCCTCAGTCCCCTCTCACTCTGACCAGTTACCTGCAGTTTCAGGTGTTCCCACTAATCCACAGGTTCCATAATTCACTAGAACAACTTAACTCAGGAGCGCATTATGCTTCCTGTATCTCATGCCAATTCTCTGACACCAACTGGATGTCTTACATTTCCATCCAATTCCGACACTACTTGGAGTCAGTGCGAAATCCCAGAAGTTAAAATGCAAGGTCCTCAACAAAACTGCCCTTACTTCAGATGCCAGCCACAAGGGGGGTCCCCCAGCCGCTTGCACCACTGCCTGACTTGGCTACAGATTCGGGGGTTCCCATGATGGCCCCTCAGTTTCAGTAATTCGCCAGAATGATTCACAGAACTCAGGAAAGTATTCTAATTATGATTATCTTTTTACTACAGAGGATAAAAATGAAGAATCCGAAGAAAGAGGTACATATGACAATGTCTGGAATGGTCTTGAGCGCAGGAGCTCCTGTCCCTTTGGGTGGGGATGGGGACATGAAACCCTCTTGGTACATCGGTGTGTGCACCAACCAGGAAGCTCCCTGAGCCTCATTGTCCAGTGTCTTTTTTAAAGCAAGGGCTATTCCTGGCTGGTGTGGCTCAGTGGATTGCACGCCAGACTGGGAACCAAAGGGTTGCCGTTTCAATTCCCAGGCAGGGCATGTGCCTGGGTTGCGGGCCAGGTCTCTAGTAGGGGGCATGTGAGAGGCAACCACACATTGATATTTCTCTCTCTTTCTCTTTCCCTTCCCCTCTCTAAAAATAAATAAATAAAATATTTAAAAAAAATAAAGTGAGAGAGGTCTTATTATGTAGGCATGGTTGAATAGATCAGGGGCTATGGGACTGAGATCAACTCCTTCTAACCACATGGCTCATTTTTCTGGCCAGCAGCCTCCTCCATCCTAAAGCTATCTAGCGGCCCTGCCAGTATAACAGATAGAGAGTAATAGTAACAGCATTAATATTTTCTAACATTTGGAGGAATCAGTGTGAGGTAGGCCTAGAAGGTTTTTAGCTCAATTTCTCCATACATGTGACTATCAACACAAGTAGTACATGCCCTGGCTGTTGTGGCTCAGTGGATTGGGCTCTGGCCTGCGAGCGGAAAGGGTCGCTGGTTTGATTCCATTTCTGGGCACATGTCTGGGTTACAGACCGAGTCCCCTGTTGGGGGCGTGTGGGAGGCAGCCGATTGATGTTTCTTTCATTTCTCTCCCTTTTCTTCTCTCTCTCTTCCCCCTCTCTGAAAATAAATTAATAAAATCTTTTAAAAAAATAAGTATTATAATCTTACCAACAATGCCAGTGTTATAGTATATCTTATTGTGTGGATGTAACGTAAAAAAATGAGAGTAATTAGTCCAGTCCATCATTACATTTTATGATAAAAATGTCTCTCACAGCAAAGTCAACCATGTTTGCAGGTTTCTATTCAATCTTGTCAGATTCCAAAAGCAAGTGTTGTTTCCACAACACAGGGCTTCAAACTTTCAGATATTTCATCATAACTGAGTAAAGAACGACATCTTTTATTCTGAGCCTCTTTCAAAAGTTAGTGCAATATTGGATTTCCTTCATTGCCTAATCCTCTTGCTCATTCCTCTACTCTCAACTAATCTTCCTTCTTTTCTCCATTTACACCCAAAGTTTTCCACGTTTGGAAGGGAGGTAAGGTTTGACCACAGCGCTGGACCAGACTGCTGGCAGCAATAATAGACTAGTAGATGCCTCACCCTCAGCCCACACACCCTCGTAAAGGGCAGAGTTACACCGATCAGAACTAATGGGCTGCCTACACCACTAGGCATTTGCTGTCAACTCCAATTTTGCCAGATGGGTTGAAAGCACAGTCTACTTTATTGTGCCCTTAGGAATTCTGACATAAAAGTTTAAAGAGATGGTTATAGTTCCTTGCTTAGGGATTATCCTGCTTCCAGCACCTGCAGATACATTTCTGGTCCTGAGGAAAAAAAAAAGTTGAGGTGATAAGGGGAAGAATATTATAGTTATACCAACATCCGTCCTTGCTCCCTATTCCCCAGATCCCCCAGAAAAGTGGATAAATCCACCAAGTGGCAACTCCCTCCAAGCCCTGTCACGTTCAGTGTGAGCACACCCTCCGGAAAGTTTGTAAGTGAGCCCTTCGTGACTTTATCTGCTCCCCTCTTCCGCATTTTAGACAACAGATGTTTTGATTACTCATTCCAATTACCTATTAAACCATTACTCTGAGGATGATATGCAACATAACATGTCCATTTGATGTGGTATCTCTTGGCCCAACTCTTGGACATCATGAGCTGTGAAGCGTGGTTCATGGTCTGAAGAAAGGAAAATTGGAGGCCCAAATTGGTATAGTATTTTTTTGTTCCAATCATCTAGTGGTGTCTTACACATTTGCAACTACAGCCAGGTATGAAAATCCCAGTTCCTGTCAGGACCCACTTATAGCCTCCAGGGCTACCGGCATTGGATCAATGGAACCCATTTTCCAGGTGTGTGCAGGGCGGTCCCCCTGGGGAGTCTGCCCCAGAGCCACTTGTAGCTTCTGTTTCTCTTGCTGGCAGGCAGAACAGTTCTTGGCATTTTGCGCCTCGGAGGGTGCAGGAGGAATATGTCTAGGTCCAGCCCATCTCTGCATTGCTGCAGCAGCCCCTTGTCTGCTCGTGTGATGGACCCAGGTGAGCACCTCGAGGGAGCACGCTGGGAAACCCACTCGCTAGTTCCAGCCACCTTCCAATCCTAGAAGGCTCTTCTTCTCTTGGTCGTTGACACGCCCTACTTGAAATGAATCCTTCAATGTTCCATAGTGGCTTCCACAGGTTTATGCTCCATATGGACATCTGTTTTACTGCTTGTTTTAATCCTCACCCGAGGAGGATATGTTCATTGATAAGAGAGAGAGAGAGAGAGAGAGAGAGAGCGAAGGAGAGAGAGAAAGAGATGGATGGGTGTGAGAGAGAAACATTGATCAGTTGCCGCCATTATGCTCCCCAACCAGGAACCGAACTTGCAACTTAGGTATGTACCTTGACAAAGGGTTGAACCCACAGCATTTTAGGTGTACGGATGATGCTCCAGCCAACCAAGCCACCTGGCCAGGGCTGGGATCCCTTTTGTAGGCAAGTTTTTTATTGCCTTTCTACCTGACCATATGGGCAGGCCATTTCTTACTAATTTATGCCATTGTTTTTCATGAGTCAGTAAAAACCCAAACATAGGGGCAAACAACCTGCATTTCAGTCCATGGAGCTGCTTTTTACCTTCAGTCAGAATGGCAGCCTTACAAACAAGATGCTGTATATTCACCTTGGAACTGCCATTATAAACCAAGCAGCACTTTGCTGGTCAGTAGAGAATAGTTTATAGAAGACTGTGGAGGTGAGGCTAGAATCTGGCAGCTCCTAGGACAAAACATATAC